GACAGACCCGGATTCCACTCGAATATATCTGGTAAGAGCTCCCTGAACCCATCACTCATACCATCAAGGTAAAACCTGTGACAGCGGGCCGTCCATGTCGATTGGATGATTCGGGCAGCTACCAAGAAATAGGTCACCCTTACTTTACGCATGTTTTCTCGTTTTAATTTCGATATCGATCCCCTGACCCCAGCAACGGCAAGGGGTCGGGCCTCACTCGGGGGCTGGTAGGAGTGTCTATTCTATAGACATTCACTATGCCTGACCCCTCCTCACATTAAAGAAGAAGAGGCAAGGTGTGCGGAAACAAACTCTGGGTAAAACTGGTCGGACTGAGAGAGACCTACGCCTCGATGGCTACGGCATTTTTTGCTCACCAGCATGTTCAGAGTTTTAGTCTCCACACCCCGAGCTTTAGCCTCCACCTTCCTAGGAAGGATCTGGAGTGGCCCACCTGTGGAATCTCCATCGAGGAGAGGCCGGTAGGTCGCTTAAAGCCGATCGGATGGCTCGGGTCGCGGCCGAGAGATAGGTAAGGAGCAGTGGGATACCTCATGTAGGTTATGCCAACACCGTCATGAACGACGGACCCGGACCCCACACGGACATATCTGGTAAGAGCTCCCCAAACCCATCACTCGAGCCGTCGAGGTAACTTTACCAACCCCCACTTTTCTTTTCCAATGCATGAACATTCATTCATCCATTCATTCATACATTCATCCATACATTCATCCCATACATCCAAGCATTGCATATGCAATTGTTGCATCACAACGCTTCGCGTCGCGTCATGAAGCGATAGTGGTCTCATTCGATATGAGCGGCGACCGAGCGAGGTTCGAAGGACAGCCCGTAAAGAGCTCAAGGCCGCCTCGCATCAAACAGAGCTAGGGGAGAAAAACCGAGATGAGCCCTAGCAGCCCTTGCTTGACCCTACTTAGAAGCGGACATGGATGTCTCGACCTTTCTTGTTTGATCCTAACCTTGAGCCAAGTCCACAGAATCTCCATCGAGGAGAGGCCAACAGGCCACCCGAGTCACTCTCCGGAGTGACAAGGGCATCTGCTGGGAGGTGGGTTAAGGAGCTATGGAATGCTACATGAGGGCTATGCTGACCCCATCATCAGATGACGGACCTAGATTCCACTCGAACATGCCCGTTAGCGAGCTCACCGAGAGCGACACTCAAGCCATCGAGGAAAGTGTCATTAGCTCATCCCCTCTGGTTGCAGAAACTGAGGACGGGGTGACGCATGAAATTCGGTCGACCACTACCGAGCCCCACGGGGCTAGGGGGCTCGAGCCGCCTGACCCGAACTTAGGAATCCACCTGACTGGGGTTCGAAGGCCACCCACGAAGGGCTCGAGGCCGCCTTGCGTCGAACAGAGCCAGGGGAGAAAAACACAGGTGAGCCCTAGAGGCCTTTGCCTGACCTGCTCAGAAGTGGACAAGGTCATCTCGACCTTGTTCGATCGTGACCTCGAGCCAAGCCCACAAAATCTCCATCAAGGAGAGGCCAGCGGGCCACCTGAGTCGCTCTCTAGAGTGACACGGGCATCTACTAGGAGGTGGGTTAAGGAGCAGTGGAACACCACATGAGGGCTATGCCGACTCCATCACAAACGACAGCCCCGGATTCCACTCGAACATGCCCGTTAGCGAGCTCACCGAGCGCGTCACTCGAGCCATCGAGGCAAGTGATGTTAGCTCAACCCCTACGGTTGCGGAAACCGTGGACGGGGCGACGATCGCAAAGATGAGCCGACCCTCGACCGTACCCCTGCTGGTGCGGGGGCTCGAGGAAAGTTTTACTCACAAGGAGACCGAACACGCGGTCATAGAACAATGGCTCAGATCCTAGGGAGGGGGTACGCATGAAAACAAGAGATGCTTTTCTCCTACTAGTTTCGCTGCCCTCTCCTCGATCTTTAGTAACACCCGACCCCAGCAACGGCAAGGGGTTGAGTCTCACTCAGGGCTGATATGGGTATATATACACCCTTTCTAAAATAGTCGCCATGCCTGACCTCTTCCTCACGTTAAACCTAGCGACAAGGTCTACGGAAACGAACAACTGAGCAAGGCTGGTCAGACCGCAAGAAACCTATGCCCCAGCGGCTATGGCACTCCTGCTTACCAGCATGATCAGAGTTTCCCTCTTACACCTTGAGCCCTACGGTCTTAACAAATGGAAGGGTTGAAACGCATTAACCCCTTTTAACACAAAAAAGGGAGAAAAAATAGATTTGATCAAACGAAACAAAAGAACAAATGACAAAGTTTGTTCAAAATGATACAAAGGGGTCGGAACTTGTTCGCTTGTTACAAGAATGATCGACCGACTTTTTGAACTAACTAACCCCTCCGGAGGAGAACTATGCTCTCTATCCTATCCGCCAGGTCCTACGAAAGGGGAGCCACCACCGCTTCCATCTCCTCCAGCTCGTGGACTTCATAGCCAGGCGCGAAGTCATGGCTCATCGTCTCCAAGTCGATGTTGTTTCCATAGTGAGAACGAGCAATCACGAAGGATTGGTTGACCCCAGCTCGAAGGGCATTCCTCTCGTGCTAGCGCACCCAAGCCGTGATCTCAACAGCATGGGCCGCGAGCGATCTAGTCCCCTCCGACCGCACCACCTCAAGGTCATCGCAAACCACTCTGAGGGTGGCGCTCAGGATATCGAGCTCGTCGCTCTTCGCCTAAAGATTCCTCCTCACCTCGGCGAGGTCCACGGCCAGCCCGGCGGAAATGCTCTCGGCCTTTAGCTTCTGGGTTGTCACATTTCCGAGCTCGGCCTAGAGGGAGCCGACCTTCTGCTGCGCGTCGTCGTGCTCTTGGCAGGCCTGATCACGCTCTCATAAGGCTTGGTCACGCTCCTCGTGAGCTGTGCCACGTTTCGAGCAGAGCCTCTTTGTGGTTTGGAGCAACACATCCCGCTCGTTGCGTAGCCGAGCGACTGTCGTGGCATCCAGGCTCGCCCTCTTCTCCAAGGCCATGAGCTTCTCCTCGGCCCCCAGCTTCAGCTCCCTCTCCTTCATAACCACGGCCAGGAGGTCGAGGATCCCCTGGCAGATCTCAGCGTCCTTCTGGAGCAGCTCGTCCCGCTCCTTTCGGACCTTGGCGGCCTCCTCATCGTCCCTCCGCGATCTCGCTGACAGGGCCTCGAACGCCCTTTCGGCCTCGTCAGCATGCCAACTAGCCTCGGCTATAACACCATCGGTGTTACATTGTACAGTTTTTGCTAAAACCAAGTCATGAGCATCATATTTATGTATTTTTGCATGTGGCAAAATGAGAAATTAAATTTTGTTGCGCTAATTCTCAAATTGAGCTCTAATTTATTCCTTGTCCAAGTATTCTCCCGTAGCCCAAATCACTTTCATTCATCCTGATCCAACTCCAGCTCTCATTATTCTTCTCCTCCTTAATTTCCCATGCACGCACTCGGCACTCGCAAGCCCGCGAAGCACGCTTCAGTACATTCTTTGGCAAAACGCAGTGCTTTTACTTTGTCGTGTCAAGCAAGTCAAGTTGGCAGCACATGGCCGACCGGCAGCAGCATCGCACACGCTACACATTAATCTCAATCACAAGCTCTGCCCACTGCGCACGCCGCTTGCTCGCTGCTCAGTTGATGTACCGTAGCCCAGACACCTTTCCATGTGGCAGTACTGTAGCAACGAAAAAACACTGTTCACCATGAAACACTGTTCACCATAGAAGCACTGTTCATCCGATCAGCATGCCGTCCACAAGCCGCGCTTTATTGCCTTTAAGCAAGCTAGTTAGCCACTAACCTTACGACGCGTCGCTGTCGCGCCTTCGCTTCTCCTGCCTATAAAAGGACACGCCGAGCCGTCCCGCTTCGCCGCTCACCTTCTTCCTCCCCAAATCAAGTTTCTCTGTCTTGCTTGAGAAGGCTACGCTCCGTCGATCTCCCTTCCTAAGCTGCAATCGACTGAGGTAGCTAGACTGCAAGAATTCCCTCATTCTCTATTATCTCCTTGACCTACGGTCTCCTCCATTAATTCCTTGACCTGCATGAATGAACCAGCACCTTTCCCTCTCATAATCATGGAAAGTCTAGTCCACTACCCGTCCAACACGTTATGTGATCAGCACCAGCACTCCCTTCATCACGTCAATTTAATTTTCGGATTCAATTAACAGCCCACCTTGTAAAAGCCATATCTCCCTCATACGACCTCCGATTCACTCGATTATTCTTCCTAAAATCATCTAAAATCAAGACCTATCCATCCTTATCATCTTCTTCTTTCCTAGAGCTCATTTGAATTTATTTATTTATTGTGAAATCAATTTTGTTAGATTTCCTAGTGTATTTTGTTCGTATGGTTCTGCGATGTTCACTACACCACAACACCGCTTCACCGTCAGACATCTGACGCTAAAAATTATATTTGGCGATGGATGATCTGACGCTAAAGATAACTCAGAGACCATCTGATGCTAAATCCTCATTTAGCGATTTAGTGTCTGTCGCTATAGGTATTCATATTTAGCGTTGAACCGTCTGTCGCTAAAGCCAAGTGTACCGTCAATCTGTCTGTCGCTAAAGAAAATGGGCCCACGCTGAGCTCGCGTGCCCCACCTCTATCTAGCTCGCTCGTGAAGCAATTTCGCATTTAGCCCATCAGTGATTCGGCCCGTCTCAGCCCATCTTGGAGCATACTTGCATTTCGCCATCTGATCGACTTTCAACGGCCGAGATACACGAAATGATGAATAAAACACAGCGCTCTCTTCTTCTCAGTCGAAACCCTACTGCCCTCTCTTTCTCCCTCACGCAGTCCCCCACGAACTCCTGCTCCCCTGCTCTGGCGGCGCTGGCAAGTACGGGACGAGCCCCCCATCCCCCCTCCGGCGGCGTGAGCTTGCAGGTCGTGGCCCCTCAGGCGGCACACCACTCCGGTGGTGCGTGCAAGCTGGGGACGGCTCCCTGCCTACGCATCACCGCTGGTTCCCATCCCCTGCTCATCTTCGTCTACGTTGGTGGTGGTGGGGGGCATCTAACCCGGCACCGCCGAACCCTCCTTTCGCCCGGTTCCACCCTGCCGTAGTCCTCCTCTCCTCTGGATCCTCCACAGACGGCTGCTGCTCCTCTCTCGCTCGAGCAGGCTTGGAGATCCGTCCGTCCCAATGAGTAGCGATCTCTTCCTTCCTGGAAGTCCTGGCTCGCTTGAATTGTGGGACGGATTCCTTTGTTGGAAGCACAAGATTGGTTCCGTTGCGGGTCAAATTTGGAACCTCCTTCCTCTCCATTTAGATTTATTGTTTCGGTGTGGATTTGTGTGGCACCGTAGTATTTGTTGCCACTAATGTTCCAATCTGCCCATCCATGCGTGGCCCTGTTAGAGATTGTAGTATTACACAAAATATTTTTCGTGCCCAACTGAAAACCACCCCTCTTTGCTGCCCCTTTTGTTTTGTGACACATTCTACCAGGGATCATTTGTTGCGAAGGTTTTGCTTGGGAAGATGGAAAACATACGTGCACTTTTGGTCGGGTAAGATTTTAGATGATTGACGCTGCTGACGAATTTGTACAAATTTTGATGCTTTTCGAGACAGCTATTTGACGATGTGTAATGTTGATTGCCCATAGCTTGTCGTGGGCAAGGTGTTCCTTAGCAGAGGCGGGCAGATGTGTGTCCACGAGGTATATCATTGTAGACTTTACCTCAAGGGATTGTTCGGTTTTCTACTGTTGTGTTAGTTGTTTGTCACTCCATGGACTTATGCTGCCACCAATTTTAACTCTAGGGTTAACTGATAAATTGTGAACGTGGACCAACACGTGTGTAGCTTACATGCTTTATTTACTTGCAACTGATGATTGTTGGAATATGGTTCTATTTATGAAGTATATTGTTTTTCTGAAGTATGATTTCTTTCCAGGCCATCACTTCTAGCATCTCTGGGCGCACATTACAAGGTAGGGCCAAAATACTAATCCTTTTCATCCATTAAAATTGCTAACTGCATGCTTATGTGGCGTCCTTATTGCAGATCCCCATGCCAGCCCGCTGGTTCTCATCTACAGGTATAACCACATGTCTATTTGGAATCAGGGTGCATGCATTGGTTTGTATTTTATAAACAGACCCGAGTGGGTTATAGTTGACCATGCTTGTTCTGCATATTCATATGTATCTGTGCCACTTTATGACACTCTCGGTATGTTCACAACACAGAATGACTATACTATAGTTCTCTTGTTCATTTATGATTTGTCTAGTGATAGTTTTTGTGTATTGTACATTTGTACTTTCAGGCCTAGATGCTATTCAATTCATCGTGAACCATGCAGCGGTGATGCCCTTGACACAGTTTATGTTTTGGTTCAGGTTGGTTGGATCTGTGTTCCATTTCGAGAAATAAATTGATAAGGTAAACCAACTAAATTAGGAAGTGACATGAACCTATGTTCTCCCATTCAGTTCATCTCAGATTTTAGGCTCTAAGTTAACCTTATATTGTACCGAAGATGGTGTACATTTCAAAATTTGGTTATCTGGTTTTATCTTGCTACACATTGGATAATTAATTCATACAATATTTTAAGTGTCATCACATTTTTTCTAAAAAGGTTTCTATATTGCCAAGTGAATGCATTATTAGAAATTAACAAATATAACTTGGAAGTTCTGACTAACAACAAAGAATTTACAATCTATAGATTTAGCATGAGACATGGTACTTCCAATCAAGTTAGCCTAAGTTGTTTCATTTGGTAGAGCTTATGGAGTGTTGTATTGACCAAGTGTGCTCTTGATAGATTGACGTGGTCTGGTTTGAGTACTTGTGACATGGGTTTTTTGTTTGGTGCCATAGGGGGTAGTGTAGTTGTGTCACATTGCACTACATAAGGTATATGCTTTCATGAAATTGTTGTGGGCAGCAATCAGCAATCATAAAGTGTTGCTAAGTGCTGAAAAATAAGCTTCTTTAATTTCTTTTGGTGGCGATTGGTGATTCTGTGCAGCGGTTATGTTCCTAGCTATTTATTAGAGATTGTTAGTTCTGAATGTATGTATGTATGGTAGCAATTCTGAGGATGCATCACACGTGCAGCTATGTGCAGCTTTGGCTGGAATCAGTAGCTAGTTTGTGTGTTCTTTTGTTAAAAAATTCTTGTTGAAAATGTAATGATCACCAACTTTAGTTGGCTGCTATCTGTTTCTGTCAAGTTCAATTCGGTCACTCTATGCAGCCAGAGTCAAGAGTTAGACATGAGTTTTGTTACTTTGTCCTTCACTGTTGAGACTTTTCTCTTCCTATATGTTGTTTGAGCTATCCTTACATGGTTTTCAGTTTATGCTAATGTTGCTTGTCTCGGTTTTGCATTGAATTGGCTTCTTTGTTGGTAGCAGTATGTTCTTTTGCATATGCAGTCCATAGTTATGATACTTCCCATTTTTTAACACATTACAAGAATTGTTGTTTTTGTCCTTTGGAGAAGGTAATTGCAATGCTAGTTTATGTAGCTTGTCAACTGTATTCTCAGTGCTTTTCTGTGCTTTCTTCACAGGATTTCTTACATGAGATGTCACATAAGGACGACAAAATTGATTCTTAGTTAAAATGAGGTTTCCTGAAGACGAGGCTGCACTGGCTATTACTAGATGCGGTGTGCTCTCTGAACCTTTGTTCCATGCTCCTCTATTTGTCTTTAGATTCCTGAGCAAAATAAACATCAATTTCCAACCTTGAAAGTAGGATATGCTCTATATAGAATAAATCAGTTGAATAATAACATTGCCATTTTTAATTTTATGTCAAACTTTCTATTGGTTTATCTCTGGATTTTGAAAATTTTCCTCAAATACTGCATGTTGGAACTCATAAATTGGCTGCAATCTTGAACTGAGATAACTTGGAATGGTTGATTCATGCTGTCAAATAAAACTGTTTTTGCATTTTCATGCAACTTGTACAACTCAGATTATGTCCTTGTCCCTATTTTATTTTAACTTATCTTCAGAGTTTTATTATTCGAACTTGTCAAAGTATGCTCCAAATGCCCCTGTTCACTGATCATGCACTGTCGTCTATGGTTTAAAATTACTTAGGGCTGGATGCATCTATTTCTGTTCTGGTGGATTCAATATATGCTTCACAGACCGCAGGAGATGGTTACTGTGGCAATTTGTCTGACTATGAGGTTCGTCTTAGGAGAACTGTCCATACAAGTCTGCAATAAGATTTAGATCTAATTTAATGGCACTACTACAGAAACGTTTTCCGCGGCGGGCGAATTTGCTTTTGCGCAGCGGGCAAACGCGTCCGCCAGCGTGAGAAGGTCACGGTAAATCGTGGCCTTCCCGCGGCGGGCCGCTTTGCCCGCTGCGGTTAATCGATTTCCCGCGGTGGGCATGTTAGGATGCCCGCCGCGGTTAAACGTTTCAAAAAAAACAAAAAAATCCTAGGAACCCGCCGGTGAGCCCATTCTCAAGCCCACTGACGAGCCCATTCACAACCCAATACTGGCGCCACCGCACCTCGCTGGATCCGCCGCCGGGGTCTCCACCTTGCCGGATCTACCGCCGGGGAGGTCATCCTCGCAGGATCTACGCCATCGCCGCAGGTTGGGGCCGTCTCGCCGTGGATCCGTGTCGTCGCCGTGTGGATCCACGTCGTGGGAGCAGGGAGTAGACGCAGCCGCCCTGGAATCACCGCCGTGTGGATCCACGTGGCAGGGAGTCGACGCGGCCGCCTGGATCCACAGCCGTGTGGTCCCTGCGCGCCACACAGCTCCTCGCCTATGAGAGAGAGAGATGAGGGAGGTACTGAGAGGAGAGAGAGGGTGGGAGAGAGAGATACCGGGCACGGTGGCGCTCTCAGGACAGGAGGGTGATGGGTTAGTCCTGCTTGTGCCTGGGGTACAAGCGGGGCGTGTGTTTTCGGGGCACCCAGCTGGGCACATTGGTTCACGAATCACCGCCGAGTCGGTACGACTTGTCTTACCTCTAGCATCGTAGTAAGAACTGAAAGTTGAAAGAAGAAGAGGTGCTTATATAGAACAGGTGCTTATATAGACTGGATAGATAATAACTTAATACGGCTGATAATCATAACATAAATAAGGACTCGCTATTAGTATTGCTTTTTGCTAAAAGAAAACCAGCAAACCATGAAGCTTATCATATTCCTTAGAGTCGGGAAATTATTTCCACTAGTCGGATAAGTCTTGCGAGTACATTGTGTACTCAGGGTTTATTTACCCCTGTTGTAGGTGATGCATGAGAAGTACCTTTGTGTGGAGGATTCTTCTGGTGGGCTCAGATGAATCCTCGTTCTTATCGATAGATGTTTATTTTAAATTCCGCTGTTTATCATTCCGCACTCTGATATTTGGTAATGCAATAATGTAAGTTTTAAGAAACTCTTATGTATGAAATGGACCTATATTATAACTCGTTCTCATTATTGGATCCATGGGAAAAATGTGGATCTTTCGGGTTCTCCCTAGTGGTGTGCCCGATGGATACCGCCGCTATAGCTTGCTTGTGGGGTGCTTAGTGTCTGGTGGAAGACGAGCGTTTCCATAAGTGTGCTATTTCGGGTGGTTCTGTCACATCGGCCACCCACGATCGAAGACTGTCTGCCTCCTCAGCAAGGGGAGTCAGCTCGGCCACCCTCTGCTGGGTAGCAACAAGCTGAGTGGTCACCTCCCCACGTAGCCACGCCTCCTCGACGAGGCGGTCCCATGTTTCCTTCTGCTCACGAAGGAACCGAGACTTCCCCCAGCTGCGAGCGATAAGGGACTGAAAGGAGACGACGGTCAGAATACAAAAATGTATAGAGAAAGAAAAGGGCGAGAAGCAGGATCTAGCAAATACCCGGCTGGAGGGAACGACAACATTGCGCAAGGCACCCCTGGCGTGGTCCAAGGCTTCCAGCACGGACGCGATCCCCACGTCGAGGCTCTCCCGCTCCATACTCTTGGCTACGTCGTCGAGGGTGAAGAGCGTCAACGCTGGATCCTATGGGTTTGTCCACCGGAGCAGGGGCTCACCCTGTGCGAGTGAATCCCTACCCACCGACGTCAGGGCTAGGGATGACTCCCCGCTGGCTCCAAGCGCCGCCGACACCTCTTGTCGCGACATTCCCACTAGGACGCTCCCTCCGGCGATGGAAGGGATCAGCGGTATGGAAGCTAGCCCCTCTCCCAGCACCACGACCTCTGGGGACCGTTTGGTCGTGTCCCCCTCCATTCGACCCACGCCAGACGCCGTTAACTGGGCCACCGATGGCACGGG